TATAAAAAACCCTGGATGGAAGCAATTCCTACAAGACAAGAAGAAAAACTTATACAACAACTTTCTAAACAAACTGTCTTTCAAACTAAGTATTGTGGAGGTGCTTTTACTTGTACCTCTGATGGGTCTAATTTAATTTGGGTAGGTGAAGATGCAACAACGACGTATGTTTCAGCATTACATGGTTCAATAAAATTTACATATAAAGGAGATTCTTCAGATATATTAAATTTTGCTGTTTCACCAAATAATAGATACTTAGCTGTTTCTTATTCATCAGGATTAGTTTATGTGTATGACCTTTCTATTCCAAAAGAACATCTTATGATTATCAAAACACCAAACACTTCTACTAAACAACAATCTGTCACTGTTTCAATGTGTTTCAGTTATTCTAATGGGTTTTTAGCAATGGGAAGTAATGATGGATATGTACGTATTTATGATTTACAAAATAAATTCTTTACACATAATTTGGTGTTTTCTCATTCTCTTGTAACAAATGTTTTGTTTGATGATTCAAAAGAACAATACCTTGTTTATGCATCTTCAGATTCTCTTGAAACTATTAGACAATTTAATTTACATACAAACAAAATAAAAGATATGTTTGGTCATTTAAATGGCATTGTAGATATGAAATTAAATACAAAGAAACAACTTGTTTCTATTGGAAAAGATAATGTTCTTATAATTTGGGACATGCAAACTTTAAAACCAACGAAAACTATTCCAATTACTTATTCTTTATTTCTTCAATTTGCTGGAGAATATATTATTCTTGGAACAGAAGAAGGTAATCTTATTGCTTTAAAAGATAAAGAAATAATATGGAAAAATAAAGAAGAACAACGACTATTGTCTCCAGGTGCAGTTTTGATTGCAGGAGAAGAAATTATTCATGTGAGTCATGATGGGTATTTAATCTTTTATTCTTTTGAAGGAAAAGTTAAGAGTTATGACTGTTTTGATAGAGAGAGTATAATTTGTTGTTTGCCCCTAGAAGAGAATGATGAGGAATTAGATAATACATTAACTAACGAAGAAAAAAAGCAACATGATATTGAATTTCCATTACATTGTAATAAAGTGTTGTTATTAAATAATTCAAATGCATTAGAAGTATATGACTTTGTTGCACATACCTCCCAATTATATTATGGTCATGATTCAGTGATAATGTCATATTGTACATCTCCCTCAAAAGACTATATTATTGTTGGATATTTCGATGGTTCTATTTCATTATGGGACCTTAAAACTATGAAAGAGCTCGTTAATACAACTGTTCATAGTGGTGCAGTAACTGCTTTAGGTCATTCTACACAATCAAGAATGATTGCAACAGGTTCTAATGATAAATATATTAAGATATTTTCTTATGAATCACTAGAGGAATTTACACAAGTAGATGCATTTGCTGCACATACTAAAGAAATTCAATGCTTAACATTCTCAACAAAAGATATTTTCCTTGTGAGTGGTTCAGCTGATAAGTCCGCTAAACTTTGGGCACCTAAAGAAGGATTTGCTTTACATGGTGTACTAAAAGGACACACAAAAGCTGTTATTTCAGCAGAATTTTCCCCAATAGAACAAGTTGTTGCCACAGCCTCTGGTGATGGAACAATTAGGTTGTGGAGTGTTAAGTCTCTTTCTGCGTTAAGAACATTACAAGGGCATAATGGTGGAATATCTAAGGCAATATTTGTTAATGATGGTGTTCAAATTATCTCTGTTGGTAATGATGGAACGGTAAGGTTATGGGTTGTAAAGACTGGAGAAAATACACAAACATTAGATGTTTCTGAAGAGAAATTATGGTCTATTACGAAGCACAATCAAAACTTTATTGTTACAGGAGATAATGGGTTAGTTTCACTTATTCAAGATATTTCATCTGAAGTTGTTGCTGAAAGAATTACGTCAAGAGAAAAAGAAATTCTTCTTGGTCAAAAATTAATGAATTTAACTCGACAAGGTAAATGGAAAGAGGCACTAAAAGTATGTGTTGAATTAGGACTTCAAAAAGAAGCATTAAATTGTTGTAGTTCTTGTAATGTTTCTGAGGCTATTGAAGAATGGGACATAGAATTAGGAAAGAAATTGTATGAATTTGCTAGATACTGGAATGAACGAAATGTATCAATGGCTGTGGCTCAAACCGTTATGAACGCTATATTTTTAAAATGGGATTTAGAGAGTCTTAATAGTGAAGAATTTAAGAAGAGTTTAGACCGTATGAAAGAATTAAATACTAAACATTTACAAACATTAGATGGATATTATAGAAAAGCTTTATTTGTTGACTTTGTTGCTGATCAAGTCAAAGCACTTCCTTAAAAAATACATTAAATACCAACAAAAATATAAGACTGAACGTTTGATACGATGATTGATTTTTCTTTGAAAACTTTTATTTATTTTTCATTTATTTTCTATTAACAAAAAAAAATAATTTTAAATTTTATAAAAAGTATTTAATTTTTACCCCAATAATTTGGCATGTACTTTCCAAATTTATCAAAATACCATTTATATTGTTCTCTTACAACACTATCTGGAACAGTAAACTCATCTTCTTTCTTTTCTTTTCTTCCATGTTTCTTTTGAGGATCATTATTCAAAACCATATCTTTAATTTTTAGAGCTAATTCATCAGTAAATGGCATACCAAACTTCTCATATATTCTTCTTGAAACACCAACTGGGTCTACAACCATTTCATTGAACCCAATGTCACAAATCTGTTTTTCTCTTTCAGGATTTTCAGCAATCCATTTCTCTCTTGTTGAAATAGCATTTTTTAATGCTATGTTATGCATTTTACAAATACTCTCATGTAACCATTTTGGATCATCACATCCAATATCTCCAAGATATCGAGCTCTAGCATTATCAAGTAAATAAAATGCGGACTTAATTTCATCAACTGGTTCTCTATGAATCCAAACAATTCTAGCTTCAATTTCGTCAGCACACATAATATTAAAAAATGGTACCATAGTCATAAAATGAGAAACACATTTCATCAAGAAGTGTCCATTTTCTGGAAGTGGAAATTCTACTGCAGACATTCTCATTTCATTTAAAACAGCCTTATAAACATCAGAAAAGTCTCTTTCATATGATGATTTTCTATATTGTTCCCATCTAGGCATTGAAGTTCCAAAACATAGTGTATGTTCAAGAAGTTCCATGAAGAATAATTCTTCTTCTGGTGCATTTACATTGTCCATAGCATGACATTTACAAAAGTCCTTAGAATTAGAATTAATTTGACCAATGATTGAGTTACTAAATCCAACTCTTCCTTCATATGTCATTGTTTTATGACCAGGAGAAAGATGTTCATATAATTTAATTGTTTTTGCACAAGGATCAGAAGCAAGAACCGCATGAGTAAATGTTGATCCACTTCTTGGAAGTGAAACAATATAAATTGGTTTTTTAATTTGAATCTTCTCAATATTTTCTTTATCTATTTTTAGTTCCATATTATATTTTATAAGAGCTGTCATCTTAGCAACAGAACTTCTCATTGTTGTTTTAAATGGAAAACCTGTTTGATCTTCACAACCAGCAAACATTTCATACATAGATTCTTTAAAAAATGGTTGATTGACAAAACTATCTATTTCTGGAACAAAGGATTTGTATAATTCTGCATGACTTGGATCTAATTTACATAAAAAATCAATACTTAATTTCTTGATATTATTAAAATACTCCTCAAATAATGGTCTTGGAATAAGGTCTCTGTAATACTTAGAATCTTTGTTAATTTCATAATGCTCAGGATATACGTTAGGAAGAGACATTTTTCAAATCTTGCGTAGTAGATAAATTAAGTTCTTTCCTTTTATACCACTAATGGAAGATTGTAAAAAAGATCAAAACTTGTAAAATATTCAACTAAGAGATTAAACTCTTTTGAAAATTTAAAAATACTATTAATTAATCATTAAAATACTAAAACTAATTTTTTTTATAGACAATTTAGAATGAAAAATTGACCAATAATGGAATTAAATTTAACTTGATAACTATTCTCTTTATAAAGAAATTTCATTAAGTTCATAAATTGAATATTGTGTTTATTCATTATTGAAATAAACTTAATGAATCAAAGCTGATAATAAAAATAAAAAATGCAATTTCAAAACTAATTTAAAAAAAATAAAAAAAAAAAAAAGAAAAAAGAATTATTATTTCCTTATTAACCAATCTCATCTTTCTTGTACATTAAAGTAAATGAATAGATCTTTTGTTACATTTGTAAAGATGTACTTATTGTCAATTCCTGATATTGATAATGTATTAAAAGGGTCATATGAAAAAGTTTTTTCATGTAAATCAATAGAAGAAATGTTCATAACTCTTTCTCCTTTATTAAACAAATATTACAGAAACGAATCAATTCCATATGAACAAAGGTATAATCTTTTTTCAAGAATTCAACTCAATAGATATGATACACCATTAAAATGTAATCCGTTATATTTACTTGATGAAAAAAGCAAAAATTGTGTTCTTCAAGCTAAATCAAATTTTGATGAAATTCATAAAATAGTTCAAAATGAAGTAGATAGTCATAGATGTTCTCCTCATATTTCTAAAGATTTATTTGATGCTTTTCTTGCATCTTCTCGTAATTTAGAACAGTTAGAATGTGTCCCAATAACAGACTTATTAGAGCCATTAGGATGTATCGGTGATCGTCAATATTCATTTAAAAAGAATAAAATGGAAAATACACTTCTTAGACTTTTAGAAAATGCAACTCCTGAACAATTACAACGAGTAGTTCAATTGATTCAAACTCAAGATAATTTTGATGGAGTTGACCTTTCATTTTCAATTGAATCACTTGACTTAATAACATTACATAAATTGATCTTATTATTTTAAATTAACTTTCTTTTAATTTAATTCACTTATTTAAAAAATATAAAACTTGAAAAAAGAAATGAAATTAAAATATCTTTATTTTGTTTCTTTTAATCATCATCAACCATCATTCTTTTGATTTTCTTTTTCAATTTGGCAATTTGTTCATCTTTGTCTTGTGAGTCTGATTCTAATGAAGTAACCTTCCTCTGTAATCTGGAAGATTTCTCTTTTTCTGAACTGAGTTTTTGATTTACATCTTCAATTTCATCTTGTAAGTCTTTGATTTTACTCTTAAGATCACTAGCCCCAGCTGCTGCTGCACTACCTTTTGCTTTTTCAAGTTGTCCTTCAAGGTCCTCAACTTTTTCAGCTAATTCTTGAGCTTGTTTTTTGAATTTATTCATCTTCGTTTTGAATTGTTGGGCTTTAGCCAATAACTCTTCTTTTTCTTTATCATTTTCTTCTTCAATCTGTTTGATTTGTGCTTTGATTTTCAATGCCTCTTCTCCATTACCTCCTCTTAATTCAGTTATCTTAATGTCTTGTTCAGTGATAGTCTTCTTAAGTTGATCCATATTTTCTTCCATTTCAGTGATTTTATTTCTATACTCATCTCGTTCTTTTCTGATTTTATCGTTGTCTGCTTTCATTCTAACGTAATCATCATCTGCATTCTCTGCATCATCTGCATGGTCTTCTAACTCATTACTTTGTTTTCTAAGTTGTTTTTCTAAGGCTTTAATTTTATCTTGTGATATTTCTACCTCATCTGTTAATTCAGTTACTCTCTTTTCTAATTGTTGGTTCTTTGCAGTCAATGCATCACTGTCTTCCATTAAATCATCATAATCTTCTTGTAACTGATCATAATCTTCTTGTAATTTCTCTAAGTCATTAGCATCATCCCCAGTGACTTGTTTAGTAAAGTTAACGTCATGCTTTAATTTCTCAATCTCAGCAGCTTTCTTTCTATATTCTCCCTCCATTTTAGTCATTTCCTCTTTAACACTTGACAATTCTTCCTCAATATCTTCTTTTTCACTAAGAACCATTAAATTGTCTGATTTTAATTGGTCATATTTGCTCTTAAGATCTAAATATTGTCTATTAATAGTATCAATCTTTAATTGCATAGCATCTCCAAGTTTGTCATTAGCAACAGCATCATTACTGTTAGAAGAGAGTTGACCTTGTAAATCAGCAATTTTGTCATCTTTTTCTTCAATACTGTCTTTAATAATTTCAAGTTGATTTTCAAGATCAGCAACTTTGTTCTCTAACTCAGTCTTTTTATTGAAACATTCTTGGTATGTAGCTTCAAGGTCATTACTATTTCTAATCTTTCCATCCATTTGTTCTTTCATTTCTTCTAATGCCGCTTCACTTGCCTTTCTTTTTTCAATTGCCTCAGCTAATTGGGTGTTAATACTTGTTATTTCATCTTGAAGGTCTTGATTCTTCATAACTTCTTGATTTAACTTTTCTTCAATTTCTTTTTGTGGAGCACTCATTTGTAATTCCATGTATTTAATTTTCATTGTTAATTCGTTCTTTTCATCACCACTTTGTTTAATCTTTAATTTAAGGTCATTCACTGTTTGTTTTAGTGATTGGTTTTCATCATCTATTAACACAAGTTTATCTCCAGCTTTATTAACTTCTTGTTCTTTACTTTCTAATTCACCCTTTAAATCAACAATGTCTAATCTTAAATCTTTAATTTCATCTCTAAGATCTTTTTCTTGATCTTTAGCATCTTGGATAGTCTTATTTAAATCATCAATTTGTTTCTTATAAGATTCTGTAGCAGCATTAACAACAACACTGACGTCAACATTTCCTCCTTCAAGTCCATCAATTCTACTCTCCAAATCAGTAATTCTATCTTTCAAAGTATTTTTATCTTTCTCCAATTTAGAGATTGTTTCTTCTTTATCTTTAACGTCTTGTTGAATGATAATAACTCTCTTCTCTGCAGTGTTTTTAGCTTTTTCCATTTCTTCATGTTCTTGAGTTAATTTATCTAAATTCTCCTTGTATTGAGTTATAATGCTATTTAATTTTTCATTCTTCTTATCGGATGCATCTAATGCATCAAGTAACTCTTCTGCTTCTTTATCACTCTTTTGTTTTATTTTAGCAACTTCTCTTTGTAATTGTTTTTCATAGTCTTCAAGTTCTTCCATAGATACATGTCCTTCAAGAATCTCTTTTTGTTTCTTTTTCAAATCTTCATTGTCTAAAGTTAAACCTTCAATTTTGTCTTTAGCGTCTTTCAACTCTTTTTGAGTTTGTTTCAATAAAGCCTTTGTATTTTTTAAATCTGGTGATATTGTTCCAACTGTTTCATTTAATCCAGCATTTTCTTTTTGAAGAGTAACTAATTGTGAATTTAGTTCTCTTTGTTTTTCGTTTAATGCGTCATATTCTTCACTTTTCTCTTTCAAGTCTGTTTCAACTTGTTCTTTCTTTCTTAATGCTGCCTCTTTATCTCTAGTACAATTCTCAAGATTTTCAGTTAATACTTTATTTGCATTTTGGAGTTGTTTAATAGTCTTTTCATTATTGTTAATATCAGACTCTAACTTGTCATGTTCTTCGTCATTTTTAGCAATAGTATCTTTTAATGTTTGAATTTCTTGTTTTAATTTTTCTTCTTTCATCAACTCTTTGTCCATAGCTTCTTTTGCATCATTGATTTGATTAGTTAATTTTTTATTTTCAAATCCAGCATCTCGAATATCTTGTTCATTAAGTTCTTTGTCATCTTGAAGTTGTTTAACTTCTTGTTGTAATTTAGTTACTAATTGTTTCTGTTTATCTAATTCAAGATTTAAGTCAGTAATCTCTCCATTTAATGCAACTTTGTCATATTCTAATTGTTTTATATCTCTCATAGCATCAGTAGTTTTTTTAGCTTGTTCTGCAAGATCGTCATGTAATTTGATAATTTCTTCATCTCCTTTTTGTTTACTTTGTTGAAGCACTTCAAGAATATTATTTCCACTTGAATATTCTTTTTCTAAATCTTCCTTTTCTTTAGTAACTGCTCTTAATTTAACTTGTAAGTCATTAACTAGATTTTGTGCTGTTTCATAATCGGTTTTATATCCTTCAACCTTCTTTTCTAAATCAGAAACCTTTCTTTCAACTGCTTTTCTAGTAACTACTTCTTGATCAGCAACATTCTTATTTTCATCTTTTTCTGCTTTAGTTTTCTCTAATTGTTCTTTTAACTTATTTATTTGATTATTACTTGATTCTAAATCATTTTTAGTTTTTTCAAGATCTGCTTTAGTTGCTGTATGTCTTTTAATTTCATCATCAAGATCCTTTTCTACTTCTTCTAATTCAGTGTTTAATGAGTCTATTTGTTTACTTGCTTCTTTAGCCTGTCTGATCCATCCATTCTGTTCCTGAGTAATATCCTCAATTTCTTTTTCATTTCCATCAGCTCGAGCTTGAGTAGCAACAAGTTCTTGTTGAGTTGTGTCTAATTTAATTTTAACATCAGCCAATTCACTTTCTAATTTTTCTTTTTGTTCTTGATAAACTTTTTGAGCTGCTAATGCTTTATTAGATTTATCTGTTTCAGTTATGATTTCTTCTTCTTTATTTTTTAATTCTTGTTGTAATCCAGCAAGATTTTGTTTAAGATTTGATACCATCGCTTGTAATTCAAGAATATCATCTTTTTTATTTTCTAATTCAAGCTCTGCTGATTTTCTTTTTTCTTTTTCTTCTAAAATTCTATCATCTACTCCTTTATTTTTTTCTTCTATTTCAGTTAATTCTTTTTGATAGTTTTTGATAACATCTTCTTTTGTTTGTAGCTCATTTTTTAATTTAGCATTTTCGTTTTGGAGTTTAATTAATGTTTGTTCTAATTCTCCTACTTCAGCTTTTGTTCCATCAAGTTGTTTGGCTTTGTGGTATGATTCTAAATCTTTTTCACATGCTTTAAATAACATTAACCATATACTTTTCTGATTACAATATTCTTTTATTGCACTTTGAATAATACTGATTGCTTCTTCCTTATTCATCTAACTAACAAAGATGAAGATCTTCTCTTTTGGGGTTTTTTATCTATTTTCAACTGGCGTTTCATTTTAAAGTTTTTTTGAGATCTTATTTTGTTATTTTTATTGTGTAATATAAAACACATTTTATAAATTCAACTCAAAATACTTAGCTTCAATTTGATGAGTAATACAGTGGTTATTGACCTTGGAAGTCAAACGATTCGATTTGGCCTTTCTGGGAATCAACTTCCATCAATATACTACATACACTTTGATGACATAGAAATAGTTGAAAAATTGAACCAAAATAAAACTGTACAAAGACGAAGTAATCCAATGAGCAGAGGTAAAGTCATTGACTGGGAAGAGTTACAAGACATTTTTGAGGAGGTGTTTGATAGTTTTAAAAACATTTATTATGATGATATACTAAAGGGTGCAAGTGTTCTTGTTACTCATCCATTAAATACACAAACTAATTTTCCATTTCTAATGGAACAAATTTTATTTGAATATTTTGGTGTGTCTAATGTGTGTCTAAAACCACAGCCATTGATGGCTCTTATTCAAAGCAATAAAACAAGTGGTTATGTAGTACAAAGTGGTAGTGAAATTACTCAAATTGCTTGTTACAACCAAATGAGATTAGAGCCAGGTAGTTGTCAAAATGTTGATATTGGTGGTATTGATATAACAAAAGATTTTAATCAAAGATTTCACCAACATTTATATGACATTGATACTGACAAAAAGAAAGAATTATTTTTTATTCCAAAAGAGTTACAAAACGAAGGTGTAGATATTACTTCCTTACCATACCAGCATGTTTGTTATTCTTCAAATAAAGGTCAAGTTATTGACATTGGGAATGAAAGATTTTATTCAACTGAAATTTTGTTTAAAGGAAAAACTTCTATTACATCAGCATTAACAAAAAGTATTTGTACTGTTAGTAAGAAAAATAAAGTCTTGCGTGATATTTGTGTTTGTGGAGGAAATTCATTCATTCATGGATTTATTGAACGAATTCAACATAATGCTGATTCTGTTCAAAACAATTTTTTTAGAACATACTCTATTAATACTCTTCATGAATCTTTTATTGGAGCAAATATCTATGCAGGATTGCCTTCTTTTAAATATCAATTGTTTAGTATTAGTAAATATGAGGAAGAAGGGACGTATGTATTTTATTAAATATAAAAATATGAAATAATACAAAAAAAATGAAAGAACCTTTTAAACCAAGAATTTGTAGTACCAGCAGTTTATAATTAAAATTACATTTGTGTTGATGATTGATGATGTGGGTTCTGTTTTATTTATTTCAAACTTACAGCTTCTTCTTTGCTGAAAAGAGTTTGAGCTCTTCAATCTCTTTTTTTCTTTTTCTCTTCAACTCTTCTTCGTCTAACTTTTCTGGTTCTTCTTCTTCTTCATTACCAAAGACTTCAATACATGAATGTCTTTCTTTTGGCTTTTTACTATCTTCTTCCTCTGGAAGGAAACAAGAATCATCATAAAGAATCACAGTAGTCTTTCCTTGGTCTGATAGAGCAGAAGTATTTATATCTCCACTTCCATTCTCTGTCTTTCTTCCAATAAAAGAAACACTACTCAGCCGTTGTCGAACTAATTGAAGGTCTTCTTCTTTTTCATTCAAAATATCAATTTGATGAAGCTCTATAGTTTTGCGGTCAATAAATGGCTCTGGAGTTATGATATCTTTTGATGAAGTTTTATCTACTGTATCTTCTAATTTAGATATTCTCACTACTGACATAACTTTTTTTGGATTATTGGTTTTGTTTTGCTCTTTTTTTTGGTCTAGTGTTTGTAGTCTTTCAGGGGTACCTGAAGGAGAGTGGATGAATGAGTCATTCTCATTTTTTGTTTCAGACTGAGATACACTAGTCATTAAATATTATTCAGTTTCTTTCTATTTCTTCTCTAAACACTATATAGTTCCTATGGACCTGTTTTTTTAGTAAATTTTTATATCATTTTACTCAGCTGGGTTTATTTGAAAGGGGTTGTTTTGTACTTTCCCAAAGCCCTTGTTTTTTTAGTAGGATTTTTACCTAATTTCCTCTATTCTGCCTTTATTTTTTCACTAAACTCAGCTTAGTTTAGTCCAACTAGTAAAGAAGAAACAAAATATATATTTTCAATATTTTATTTAAATTAGTTGGATTATAAGGTAATTTTTTCTGTAAATAAAAATTTACTCTAGTATTTTTTCTAAGTAAGAAAAAAAAAAAGAATAAAAAAGTAACATAAGTATGACGATTTTCTCAGCTGAAAAAAGAAAACAATAAAAATAATAAAGAAGAAATTTATACTTAAAGCTCTATTTTTTTTTACCTTTTAACCCAAATTTTTTTTACTTTAACTAAAGGCATAAGTCAGGCTGAAATAATTCTGGTATAGTTTTTTGAACTACTGTAGGAGAAACATACTTACACATCCAAGCAATAAATACAGCACCTATATAAGTAGAAAAAAATTCATTAGCATAAATTAATCTATTATGGTTCATTTCAGGAGTAAATTCAAGAGGGTCTAAGTGACAATGAATACGAATAATATTTGCTTTAGCACTATACCAATCTAATAATGATGGTAAATGAGAAAACAATAATTTAAGTAACTTTAACACAAAATAACCAATACCCGATACACTAAAACCTAAAATAAAACATTTTAATAATAACAAAGGACTATGAATAATACAAGAATATGAAGGCATATCTGGTACAGAAACATGGCAATTTAAAACTTCCATTGTAAAATTTAATAAAATATAACCAAATCCAAGAACTGACCTCCAATAACATGGTGTATATCTAGTAAAACACAAAGAATGAAGTGATAATAAAATAACATGACAAACCAACATAATTGGAATAAAATACCATTTCTGAGGAAAATCAGGGAAAAATTCAAAAAATGCCATTGAAACAAATCCTAATAAAGCACCAGCAATAACGTCTGCTGGAGAATGTACTCCCATATAAATTCTACTAACTGCAACAATAAATACATAAACTGTTATTAATAAACATATCCATAAATTTGGTTTTAGATAAATAATAAAAAATAGACCGTTTGCCACAGCATTCATTGTGTGGGTTGATGGTAAACCAAAATCAATTTCTTTAAAAGGTTGCCATACTCCAGAAGGTCTTGGACAAGCAAATAAATTTTTCATAAAATTACCCAAATATGTAGTAATTGATATTAGATATAATAATTCATTACTAATATTAAGAGATTCTGATGATGGATGAATCCACCATGCAGTTGGAATTAAAGCACAATACACACCTACGCCTGCCAAATGAGTCATAATTAAGAAAAAAATATCAAGAATTTTATTTTTCTTGGTTTGTAATTTATAAACACTTGGCATAGATTTTATGACAGTTTTATATAAAAAATCACGTAAATCTTTAAAGAGTATAATCATTTAATATTTATCAGTTCTAATACTATTCAAAAGAGAATTGTAGATTATAGAATATAATGAAAGAATATTAAAAACTCCTTTTTTCAGTATTCAAAATTTAAAAAGTTAGAATGTTTTCTATTTTAAGTAATTCTGTTCTTTTTCAAATTTAAAAAAAGATAAAAAGTAATAAATTATTAAAAAAAAGGAATTATTGTTAAATTAATGGAAGTTGTTCATTAATAAAATCTAATTCATGTAACCATTTATCTGAGGCATATGTTGTTGAAACAATATCTTTAATATCATCACGTGTTTCTTGAATTTCATCATGAATCTAATAATATTAATATTTTCTTATTTATTTTAATTAAATAAATTAAAAAAAAGACAAACTTGATCTAATAGAGCATTAATTTTAACTAATTCTTGAGCATCTACAAGAGCACCTACATCATTACTTTGACAAAACTCAGTAAATTGATTCATATGTTTATGAAAATCATTTTGTTTTTGAATAAGAAAACAACTAGAATTCATATAAAAGAATTTTACTCTATGATCATTTTCATCAATAACATAATTTGGATTTAATAAATCTTCCATAAAATGTTTTCTCATTGATTGATTATAATGAGTCGCCTTTATTGCAAATGAAGATGGTTGTCCTGGATCAATAAATTTTGGATCTTTAACCATATCAATCTTATGTTGGGCAATAGCTACTGAGTCATCTATTCCAACAATCAAATCATTTATTGACTTATTTAAAATATCAATAATTTCTTCTTGTGATTTCTTTGATGAGTCATCACAAAATGCATGTGCTTCACTTATCCCTTCTACCATTTCAATGAAAAATTGAAATGGAATAAGAGCTCCAGTATGTTCTTTAATTGAATTAATCGTTGTAACAATAAAATAACATTCTTTAACAACATTTTTTAATTTTTCTGTATTTTTTGAACCATTGTCAAGAGCTGAATAAATTCCTTTAATAATTGTTGGAAACATTTGGAAAAATCCAACATATGCTAATTCAGGACTAATTCTTGAAGGCATTTGAACTTCCCAAGTATAAAATTCATTGAGTGGAATAATTGCAGAATTTTGTTCTTTAAGTACATTAAATCTCATACTTATATTCAGTTTTTCATTAAATGTAAAATATATCTCTCTTAATTGTCTTTTATTATCTCCAAATGATAAACAATCAACCTGTCTTTCTGTTGCAAAAAAATTTGAAATACAAACAGTTCCATTTAATAACCAATATACAAGATATTTTAATACTCGTTTCATTCCAACAACTGAATTACGGAAACTAAATACAGGTCTTTCATCAAAGAATTTTACTTGTTCATCTCTTTCAACTCCAAGTGCAAGTGAGTGTAGATATTCAAAGGATGGGAATGAATGCAAAGTTACCATTCCATAAGAATCTCCAATAAAAACATAATCATCTTCAACGAGGAATGATTGAATAGAACGATCATGAAACTCATATTTACTAAATTCTAATACAACAATATTATCTGGATTTAGTTTTGTTGGAATAGTACAATAATAAACACAAGTTCCCATAGCCATATAAATTTCATTATGAAATACTTGATAACAACTTGGCTCATTTTCTCCAGGGACACGATATAATTGAGCAACAACTTTCTTAGCAATAAGATCCCAAACTTTAAAATGTACATTACCCATATTAACTACTGAATCAGCTAATAGTATTCTATTATTTGGTAATACACATGATTCTTTTGCAAATGAACTAAAACTATTATCAAGTGGACAAGTATTTTTAACTTCTGTTGGATTCTTTTTTTCTATTGTAACTATTTTAGACGTACTTATTAAATAAATGTACAATTCATCTTCCATCACTAATGAAGTCCCATTAATCGTTTGACTATCATTTTTAAATTTTACTACTTGATGTGTAAAATCTTTATTATATTTTAAAATATGAAGTTCTTCTGGAAATACGTAAAAGTATATGGCATTATCATATTTTGAAACTAGTGTATATCCTGGTTTATTTTCACAAACTATCTTTTCTACACGTGGTGAATTAGGAAAATTAACTATTGCGGTTTTACAGTTTGAATAATAAGATAATGCATATGCTCCAGTAAGAAAAGATGTTGAATATGAAAACCCTTCAAATTCTTGTTGGACTTGAATACCCATTGGTCGATAAATACCAGCTGTTGTTTTACTCATCAATAAAATGATCTGATTATCATCTCTTTTTATCTTTTTTTTTTATTTTTTATATTCTCAATTTCAAGTTGTTGAAAATTATAACATTAAAATGTTTTTTTTTATTATTTTGTTTTTAAAAACACATAAAAAGAATAAAAGATGTTAATTAAAAAAAACTGTGAAAAGTGAATTGAGGAATTTTAATGAAAAGACATGAAAAAAAGAAACTTAAAATTGTAAGAGTGAAAGAATGGAATTAATAGACTTGGAATTAAAACTACAAGACCGTTATTTCTATAACCCAAAATCATCTAAAACTGAATTAGAGTTATCTTCATTATTAGTACCAAAATTTGAAGAATATGTTCATGCAGAAGAATTTCTTGGACATAGTGAAGTTGGAATGAATATTCAGTTAGATGACTTAATTGCAATGGTTGGTGAAGAAGACTTTAAAGAAATGTTATTTGAAAAACCAGAAATTGTGATACCATCAATAGAATATGCTATGCATTATGTAGCTTTACACTCAGCTTCTGATCCATCACAAATAATGGATTGTAGGTGTATTGTTCGAGTCCAAATACCAAAACCAACATCAACAATTAAAGAATTAAAAGCATCGTCTATAGGTAAATTAATTTGTATTAAAGGTACTGTTATTAGGGCAAGTTCAATTAAGCCTCATCTTGTATCAATGGTGTTTTGTTGTAGTACTTGTAAAGCAAACAAAGAAGTGACTTTTAGAGATGGAAAATATACAGAACCAAAAAAATGTCATTTATGTGGTTCATCAAGTTTTATTCCTATGAGAAATACTGTAAAAGTAACTGAAACACAACGAATTAGAATTCAGGAAGTTGATGAAGGTGAAGGAAGAATTCCACGAAGTATTGAAATTGAATTAGTTAATGAATTGGTTAACACATGTGTGCCTGGAGATACTGTTATTGTCTCTGGAGTATTAAGGAGAAATGACTCAATTACAAAACAATTTAAAAGAAAAAATAAAAGTCAAACAATTTATGAACCATATATTGCTGTTAATTACTTAGAAAATTGTCGTGCAGAGACTGGAGATAGAGACATAACAGAGTTTTCAGAAAAAGATATGAAATTTATTGAGATATTAAAAGAAAAAAATAATTTACTTAGACTACTTGTTCATTCATTATGTCCACCAATCTATGGACATTATATAGTTAAAACAGCAATTGTATTGGTATTGTTTGGTGGAACTAGAAAACATGACGTTGCAAAAATTCGGGCTGATTCTCATTTATTAATTGTTGGGGATCCTGGACTAGGTAAGTCTCAAATGTTGAGGGCAGTTGCAAATATAGTTCCAAGAGGTGTTTATGTATCTGGATCTTCTACTACTAAAACAGGATTAACAGTAGCATTACACAGATATTCAGGAACATCAGATTTTACATTAGAAAGTGGTGCACTGGTACTAGGAGATCAAGGAGTTTGTTGTATTGATGAATTTGACAAAATGGAACGAACAGACTATTCATCACTATTGGAGGCTATGGAACAACAATCAATTTCTATTGCTAAAGCAGGTATTTGTTGTACGCTTCTTGCAAGAACTTCAGTAATTGCTGCAGCAAATCCAGTTGAAGGTCATTTCAATTGTGGTAAAACAGTTTCAGAAAATATTAATATGCCTTCACCATTACTTTCTCGATTTGATTTGATTTTTGTTTTAGTTGATAACCCTGATGCTGAGGCAGACAAGGAATTATCTAATCATATTATTAAAATGCATTCTGGGAAGAATATTCAAAGGAAATATAGTCAACTATCAATTTCTCAAATCTCTTCAACAGGAACTACCCAATCCACAAACGGAAGAATTAGTCTAAGGGATTATTTAAGTGACCATAGTGTTGAAAGCTCAGACCCACTACCACCAAGATTATTTAGAAAATATCTTGCTTATGCAAGGGCTAATATTCATCCTCAGCTAAACGAAGAAGCTAAATTAGAATTACAACGTTTTTACATTGAACTAAGGCAGTCGTATAAAGAAGATGATGATACTCCAGTAACGACTCGTCAACTAGAAAGTTTAATTCGATTGACTGAGGCAAGAGCTAAGGCGGAATGCAGAGAAGTTGCAACAAAGGACGATGCTATGGATGTGATAGAAATATTTAAAATAGCAAGTTTAACGGGATTAGGTGGTATATCAAATTCACCTGTTATTGATTTTAGAGCTATGGGAGGTGTTCGTGGAGGTAAGTCAAAAATGCTTAAGAGTTTAATGCGTGTATTCCAAACAGAAGCAAAGAAGAAAAATAGTAATATATTAACCAAAAATGAAATACAACAAATTGCAAGTCAATTACATGTTCCAGATATGCAAGATCTTGTTGATCAGTTAAATAATGAAGGGTTTTTATTAAAACAATCAGGAGGATATAAATTAGCAACAGGAATGTAACATCTTCAGAAAGAAAAATAAAAAGATAGATAGAAATTGAATTGATAAATACTCTATAGTTGTAATTTTGTAACGAAAGATTTATGTTAATTCATTTAATAATTTGTTAATGAACATCAGGTTTCCAACCAGTTTCTTTCAATCCAGGTATTTCTTCAATTTTTATCTTTGGAATCCCTTGTTTAAAGCATGTTAGTCCTGGACGTACTTCAGATTTAGACACTTGTCCTATTAGGGATTGTAATGCATCTCGCTGTTTTTTAATTGTTGAAGGAACGTCAGTATAATCTTCTACATTCTTGTGAAGGACACATTCCATTAATGTGGCTTCAACATAATCTTTAATGTAGCCTTGCCAGCGTTCTTTATTTAATGTTACATGTTTATGAAATCCTTGTTTCATAAAATAACCTATAGCTTGATTATCAGCATAAGTTAAAATATGATAAATTCCTCGACTTTGAATTTCTTTCTTTAAATGTTGCATGAGATATGAACCAAACCCTTGTACCTGTTGTGTAGAATCAACAGCACAAAAAACTATTTCAACAAATCCTTGAGTTGGAAATGGTCTAAAACAAATTCCACCAAAGGGCTTATTATCTTTACAATTAATAAGCAATAATGACTCATGATACACAGTGTCATAAACAATTCTACTAATATAATCCAATGCCATATTAGGTAAATGTCTTGAAACAATATTTTTCATAGCTGTTAATAATTCTAGTTGTTCTCTTGTTCCTCTATTAGCCACAGTAATAAATTTAATTTCACCCTTTTTTTCTTTTTCCCTTGGAATTGCTCCTCGAACTTTTGGTGCATCAGACATACTTTTGACTTCTGACATTTTCTAGTAATTTTTCAATCTGGATTTTAGTTTTTTGTAATGAAATAGATAAATTTTTGTTAAAACATTTTACAATCCATAATAAATTTATTAGAATGAAATGACAAAGAAAAGTAACTTTTCAAGTTAATGATAATTATTTAGATAACCACCACCTAACTCAATTAAAATTAACATAAAACTAAAATTAAAAATGGTTGTGTAAGTTTCTTTTCAATTTATTAAATTAAGATTAAACCATTGATTTAAATATTGGTCCCATTTTCAAACTATTCATAATATCATTAAATAACTTCTCAAATTGAACACTTACATTTGCCAATGGATGGGCAGAAACTTTAGCAATAAATCTGCAAACTGCCTTTGAAAGTTCTTGTTGTTTTGGTGGGTCAACATCCTTATTCTTTTCATCTAAAGAACTGCTAATAAGCTTTCTCATCTCTGGAACAAAGTCTTCAATATTTTCTACCATAGGGTCAGGATTAAGAATAACCATCTTTGTTAATAAATTGAAACAGAGTAATTTAATGTCATGATCATTATCATTAACAATACCATTTAATACTGTTGTTGCAATTTTCTTATAATCAAGATCATTTAAGAAATTATCAATCAATACATTCAAACAATCATAAACTGCCTTTCTAGCATCAAGACCATTATCTGAAATATGTTTACAATTACCGAATTTAGCAATAAGAATATAAGTTTGATCAACTGCAGTTTGTGCAATAACATTTTCCAAAATATTATTAAGATATGGATAAATTTCTTTTTGTGCATGATTTAATAAATATGAAATAACAGCAAATAATGCACATTTAATTGCTGGTGTTTTATCTCCTAATCTTGATACAACTAAAGGAATTAATGGAACAAATAATTGAACATCACAATTATTCATACATGTCTTTTTAATTGATCCAATTAATGCAGCATTACCATTTTTATCTTTTAGTGCTGGTACATAATATCGTGGTACATAAGTTGCAGCATCAATAGAAATTAATTTACCAAAACAATCAGACAATGGTAATAAAATTTTATCATCAGAACCAAGTAAAATGAGTTGTTTTATTATATTTTCAACTTCACTTTTGTCAGTATACTTAACAGCTTCTTTCATTGCACTCATTAAGAAGAAACTCTTCTTCTTTTGTAACTTTCCAAATAAGAATGGGATAACTCCTGGAAGAGACCCAAGTGCCATAGATGCAGCCTGTCTAACTGGGTCACTATCAACTTCAAGTAAATCAACAAGAATATCTTGAAGTGATTCTTTTTCAACCTCTCCATTAATAGCCATTTGTCCAATAGCATATAATAAAACAATTGAATTAAAGAATTCAACTGATTGATTAACATTAGCTTTCAAAATTTTTACACTATCCTTAACTTCTTTAAGAAGAATTGATACTTCAGGTTTAGTAGCGGCAAGCATTAAACCAGTTAAATATAAATTAGCTTTAGAATAAATATGATTTTCAATCTTCATAATCATATCAGTAACTTTCTTTTTTTCTTTAGTGGCTAAAATAGCAGTTATATTCATTAAACATGAACCTAAACTTTCACGTGCATTATTTCCTTTACTAATTTCTACTAATTTACGATATACATTATTTAGAATTGTATTTACTAATTCTTCATTCTTAGCAAATAAAGAAATAATGTTAACAGATATTTCTACAATACTACTATCACTATCATAAACAAAACTAGAAATGGTTGGTAATGCTAACTCTATCGTTTTATTAGAAATTGAAGGATATGACTCTAAAATACTTTTACAAGCATTTAATGAAGTAACTTTAACTTGTCTTGTTGCTTGTTGTGTTTGTTGAATGGTTTGAAGGAATAATTTGTCTGCATTCTTTAATACATTTAAAATTTGATAATTAATTGTATTTCCAACTACAATTAATGCAGGTGCTTTCAAAAAAGTATTTTCATATAATGAAATAAGTTCATCAAATGCCTCTTTCAATGCATCAAATGGTAGTATAGAAATGAACTTTTTAATAATTGTTCCAATGCAATAAATCGCTTGTTCTTTAACTTCATGATCTTTATCTGATTTAATTAAACTAATTAATGAATTAAGAATATTTACAACATTTAACTCTTTTCCTTCTTCAACAGTATCTGTATTTTCTAATAATGAATTTTCAGTTTTAATTGCATCAATAGCAATTCTAAAATTCTTGTTTTCAAATAATGAAATAAGAATTGGAGAAATAGAAATATCTATTGAACTTGTTCCTTTCACTTTGAATAAATTTCTTAATGAATCACAAAGAGCAAATAATAATTCTACATGTGTTTTTGGTGCCTTAAGTAATTCAGTAATGACATTTTGTGTTATTCCAATTTCTTTAAGCAACATACCTCCATCAAATATAGAGAGTTCTGAAATAATCTTAAAACATTCAATCTTTGATTTCTCAACAAACTTCTTTCCATTCAAAATAATGTTTATTTGAGAAATAACAGTTGGAATAGTTTGTGTAATCTTTTCATGAACTACTTTATGACCATTATTAATTGTATTTATTGTTAATGAATAAATACCTAAAATAATATCTAATACTATTTCAACACTTTCTTTCATTCTTTTAACAACAACTGAAAGTCCTTCTTCTATAAATCTATCAAACAAATCCTCTCTTTTGAGGATAATAGAATTGATGCAGTCACCTGCTAATTTTCTTAATTTCCAAGTAACATCTTGTTCATCTTCAAAAATATCTTCTTCTTCCTCTTCTTCTTCCATTGCTTCTCCATCTTCTTCATCAAATTCAAATCTATTAGGATCATATTGAATATATTCTAAAGCAACACCTAAAATCTCATTAGCTATTTCACCAAGTTTACTTGGACAAGACAAAAGAAAAACATTATAAGTATTCAAAACAGCTTCCTTCAAATCATCATCAACATCTTCTTCAGCTCCAATAAACTTTTCTTTTAAAATAACAAAAGTATTATTAACAAAAGGTCCAAATTTGTCTTTAATAATACCACAAACAGATGAAAACAAAGTTACATATACTTTCATTTGTTCTTTAACAACACATTTCTTTAAAGCAGTAAGAGAATTATTAAGAATTAATTCTAGTTGTTTATCATCAGCATATTTAGAAAGATGTGCAATACATTGAACTGTTCTTCTTCTGTTTGCAAAAACACCGTTAGAAATATAAGGAAGAAGAGTTTTAATGACATTAGATATATCTAATGTAGAACCATTTTTAGTTATAATAACATCTAACACATCTAAGTTATATCCAATAGATATATCAGTTAATTCTTTACGATTAAAGAAACTAAGTAATGGAATAGAAAAACTATCGTTCAATAATAATTTAAATTCTTTATTAATAATAAAGATTTTTAAAGTCTGTTTAATAACTTCAACAGCAACATCTCTATGAATGTCCATTTTCTTAGCTGGGTCTAATAAAATAGTTTGTAATTTTTCTAATAGTAATTTTACTGATAAAGCAGATGTGATATATGGAGCGAATGATGTCATACATTTAATAGCAATATCTTTAACATCATTAGTTTCATCAGTAAGTAATGTTAAAAGACCAATAACAATATGTTTTTGTTGAGTTTGGTCAAATTTAAATACCTTACTTTTATTTAAACTATTATTAAAATCAGAGGTTGCCATATATCTTAAATCAGGATCAGGATTTCTCATCTTCTCTAATGTCATATTTAAATCAATGTTAAATTGCATTTTTCTTATTTATTTATTTTTCTCTGATTCATCCTTTTTAAGTTCTTTTTGCCTGCCACGTCTTTCTTTCTATACTTATTAAACCTCAAATTCAATACCACCTTATATTCTCATCTTCTAGTAACTTCTGTTGAGTTTATTTATTATTAAATTTTATTATAACTCAATAATCTTAAAATTATTTTTTTTTGAAAGTTATATTAAGAAGATCTTAAAAAAAAATATATAAAAATTTGAAAGAATAATTGAAAATTAATGAAGAGATAAAATCTTATTTCATCATTTTATGACCTTTCCAATTTGCCCAATTAATC